TTTGAGAGGTTTTTGCTACAGGGCACGTGCACTCGCCAGAGAGACAGAGAGAGACAGAGAGATAGAAAGCGAGAAATCACCCCCCCAGGAGAGATGACCAAGCCGCAATCCCTTCTCCTCCATTCTCCTCTTGGTATCTTGGGCATGCAAGCACACACGCCACGTGTGAATTTAAGCCACTGGGTCTGGGACTTGAACTGCAGTCGACTACATGGGAGTCCAGCGACATAGCCATTATGCTAACTACTGCTGGTCCTGTGCCATTCATTTTAATTCCAGGGAGAATTATGTGAGTCAAAGTGATAACTATTAAAGTATTTTACCTGAAATATTTGATTGTTAAAGACCTCTCTTTATCTAATATGAAGAGTTTTATTTATTATTTATTTTTTATTTTTTTAGAGAGAGATATTTTTGCTGTACGGCGTGTGCACTCGCAGGAGAGACAGACACAGAGAGACAGAAAATGAGAAATCACCCCTCATCCCCAAGGAGAGGGTGATGGCTGCACCATAATCCCTTCTCCTCCATCTCTCCCGGGATACTGGGCACTCGCGCCAGTGCACCCAGCATGAGGTTTAAGCCATCAGGTCCGGGACTCTAACTGATGTCGACTGTGGGAGTCCAGCGACATAACCATTATGCCATCTGCTGGGCCCCAAATATGGAGAGTTTGTAAGTCAAGAGTCTACCTTTTGTTTTAGGCTTAGCTTATACATTATCCCAATGAATATATACTATGTACCTTAAATATATAAACGTTTGTATAAGGTATGATTCTTGCTCTTAAGTTTGAATTCTACTTCCTGAAGGGAAGCCCTGCACAGAATTCTCCTGAGACATAAGGATGCATTTCTCCTGTAGCTAAGAAGAGGGCACAGAATACCCTGGAGGCCACTGGGCAGATGCTCAAGTGGCCTGTGGGGTAGCCTGACCCTGCTACCGCCTTCTGGAGCTATTTAGGGGATCTGGCATGAAAACAGCATGATGCCTGTCGTTATTTTCTCCTCTGACCCTCCCTGTCATGGGAGGGGACAGGGACTGACTTGGCAGGATTCTTAGACTTGTCAGGAGCCAGACGCCGTGGAGGAGTGGGGAGGGCAGTGAGCAACAGGAGCCTCATGCTTTTCGGCTGATACAGGAGGAGGGTGATCAGGTGCTTCCCAGATAGCTTTCCAAAATGCTCTCAAAATTATATCCTGCATCATTGCCTCATCCTACTAATTCAATCCCCAAACAAGACTTGGGCTTTCCTTTAGGAAATTTGCTTGACTTGAAAGAGTGGTTGATAGACCTAGATATACCAGCTTCTCGGGTATGAAAAGCAAGTATCTCTTTTCAGAGTGTCATGTCTTAAAGATGCATATAGCATACAGCAGCTTTTTTTTTTTTTTAATCGTAGGCTAAGATTGGAATCAACTCAAATGTTTAATCATTCACCTGGTGATAAGCAAGTTTTGTTATATTTATAAAGTGGCATTTTACTCAACAGTTAGATAGACATGCTGATTGAGACAACAACAGGGATGGATCTCAAAAACATGGTGAGCCAAAGAGACTAGATCCCAAGGAATATATACATAGGGTTGTTACCTATTTATACAACATTCTGTGAGGTGATACAGTATCTCCACTGACAAGAAACATTATGGTTACCTGGGGCCTGGGATGGGAGCGGGGACTGATGCAAATGTGCAAGAGGAACTTTATGGGGTGATGGAAGCATCTACGTCTTGACTGGTGGGGGTTACAAGGCTATATGCACATGTTTTCCAAACTCATTGAACAGAGTACCAGCAGGCGGCATGGTGGTTAAGGTGCTGGACACACCCACATGGCTGACCATAGTTTGAGTCCTGGGCCTGGTGGCTTTCTCAGTTTCCCTCTTTTTCTCTCTGTGTCTCTTTCTGGTCAAACTAAAAAGAAATGAATGAATAAGTAAAACTAAATAAATAATTTAAAAAAACCCCAACTCATTGAACAGTATGCTAAAAAAGGGTATATTTATTACAGGTAGACCATATCTCGAAGTTGATGATAAAACAGAGATATCCCTTTTCAGTAAGCTGCAGGGAAACGGGTATTCTAAACACCACCAATGAGAACTGAATTATATAGCTTTTGGAAGGATAATTTGTATCAAGTTAAAAAACCTAAAGAAATTCCACCTTTTTTTTCCTGCCATAGGACATATGTACTCGCCAGAGAGGGGATGGCCATGTCACAATCCTTTCTCCTT